TATGCTTGTATAATTAAATGTTTACAAGGCTATGTGTATTTTAAAATCAAGAAAATATAAGTGATAAAAGAATGAATGCCATACAATTAAAATTTTAGCTACATAAAAATATTTTTTTTAATTTTTTAAAAATGTATTTCTAAGTGTAGGATAGATGTTGTGATCACATGTCATTTTGAAATTTCATTTTATATATATTTTTTTCACGTCACATTAACTGATATTTTGAGTGTGTGATTTGTTGTTGTGTGTATTTTTGGCTGTTGTTTACAATCCCTGCATGTTGTTGTAGGTGCCCATTATCTCCCTTCAGAAGCCAGGAGAAGATAACTCCTCCACTGCTCCCCTCCGCGAGACGCCGCCGTGGCGAGCGGGCCTACGTAAAACAGGAAGTACCAGCATGGTCAACGACACCATCAACGAAAACGACAAGACCAACCTGCCGCGTTCAGCCTCTAGTCCCCGCCTGAACAATAATAATAGATCTGATAGCGTGAGTCACCCATCACTGACCTGTCTTTTACAGCAGGAAAATCTTGAGTTGTCATTGAGAAAAGTACTAGAGTACACAAAAATGTGTTTAGACAGTGTCAGTGATCTCCCTTTCTTCTTATTATTGTCACTGATGGAATTGCAATATATTTATGGTAGAAATATTTTCTCATCAAGTGTTCTTTGTACAGATGTAGTATATAAATTCATTTTATTATATGCCACTGATCAGCAGATCATTTTGCTCCACATGAAAATTTTATTAATTAGAATAAACCTCATGTGTTCCGAAAAATGAAAAACTGTCCCAAGTTTATAGAAATAATAAAAATATCTTGAAAACTGGGAAGTTGATCTTTGGTAACGGTAATTTTCAGAATTTTGTTATATTAATTTATATATGTATTACATTTTATGTAGCATAATGTATGTTTTACTATGATTGGTTATAAATCCTCGTACTTTTCTTTTTGTTAATTTTGTACATTATTATTTTTACATGTGGATAATACATTTACAAAAAATGTTGTGGCATGTGAAGCATGAAAGTTTTCAAGATCCTCTGCTTACAGAAAGAAATTGCTTTATAAGAAATCCTTTGATATTGATATTTACAGAATTAAATTGGTGTGACTGTGTAGCATGTTTCAGGTTGCATTCTTTTCATGGAAGACTTCAATTCAAACCTTCTCCCTTCCCCATGAGGTATGTGATAAAATTGATATCTTTATCATTGTAGGATAAGTCCAACCCGTCTCGACCATTCCTGATAACCAGTACCATATCAGAAAACCAAGAAAATAAAGTCCCTGACAGGTGAGCTAAATGTGTCCTGTACTGTTACAGTAATACTGTGTCAATAAATACTGTGTCAGGAGAACAGCCTCAAGGGTCATGAAGACATGAACCATTTTTAGACTGAAGTCAACATTTCTTTTGAAGCTTAGATATTTGAAGCAAGTCGAAGCAAGTTAACACAAAATTTGAAATGATATCCAAATCAGTCTTCTTTTCCTTCTTTATTTTTTATTTAAAATATTGAATACCATGCATTTATTAAACAAGTGATTTTGACACTTTTTCATTCAAGCATTTTACCCTGGATATTTCGAATTCTCAGATATCTGAAAATTATCTCAGCCCAAACATATTTTATATAATAAGGTTTGACAGTTCTTGATTGTTATAAGATGCTGATTTTGATTCCTCTAAGTGTATCTGGTAATTATATAATCTTTTCAGGTTGTCTAGCTTAGGACTTCAGTGCCTCTTTCTAGCTGTTCTGTCTTTTTTCTGGTATTCTCTTCTCTCAGAAGTTACTGTATAATCAATCTTGTTCAGATGTAATCTGCCACCAAAAGCATGTAATTATAGACTGAAATGATTTACTGACAAATTTTCGGCATTTAAATGAAATATACATGTACATGTATGTTAACATTGTAAAGCTTTCCTTTTAATTTTTTTTTTTTTTTTTTGGTTTCAAAAGAATTTGAAAATATTTGAAATACTTATCATGATTTGGTTGTGACTGCATATTCCAATATTAGCAGAAATGTCTAGAACGAATGAAGAATGAGAACATTAATAAGAATACAGTATTTTGTTTTTGTTTCTGATTTCTTTGTTATATGATAGTACGTAAATAGAACGTTAATTGCTCTCATTGAATGTATGACTAATAGACTAATACGTCTGTCGCCTCTTTTTCCCCTTTCATCAGCCCAGCTTCTTGCCTCTAACTTCACTAAAATAGTGTGCATGACCGATCACAGAGTCGGAGCGCATGCACGATCCCTGTGTCGCTGTGCATGACTGATCACTAAGCTTGTCGGCCTTTTTTTAGATTTGGCTCTTCCTCTGTTAGTACCACTTCCTCCACTTCCACGACCTTGACCTCAACATCATCATTTAGAGGCTTGAATCCATACAGAAGTCTCTCTGCCTACAAACGCTTGGAAGACCGAATGGAGGATTATCGGTCATCTCTGCCAGCCCGGATAAACCAGCAACCCGCCACCACTGCCGCGTCGGCCTTGACCCCTAGTGCTACCGTGACAACGGTCGGCCTGACGACAGGAACCACAACTTCTATCTCCTCATCAACAATATCTTCCCCTTACTCCAATTATCAGTTTGCCAGGTTTGTATGACCCAGCCTTCATATTTAACCCTGTACCATAACGTAATACTCGTGAACCATTTCATTGACTTTTAAATTGCAAACTGGGAAATTTCTCATTTTCACTAAAGCTCATGATTTGGTTTTTAACCTGGTATTGTATAGTGGATGATTTGATTAACCAACATTGGAAAAGCAAGAAATTAATTGGTCTTTGGATACTAAGAAATAGATATCATTTGGGAAGACAGTCATAAACTGTATCAATTTGTCACCAGAAAAATGTTCAGTTTATGTTTGCATGTCTGCATTGTGACTAATACAAATCTTTTTCACTGGCAATCTTTGTATATAAGAATTATTTTTATACAGGCCCTATGGTATACCAAAACGTGATGAGGAGGCAGAAACTCAAAGGAAGGCTAGAGCCAAGCGAGCTCGCGAGACCAGACGGTCCACACAGGTCAGTATTCAACAGAGGTTGAGAACTAGTTTATAAGCAATGTTTAGGTCATATGCATTTCATCTTTGAATTTGATGCAATTTGCTGTGAAATTACTGATTTTTGTAGGTGATTTAAATTTGTTTTATTTGTATGTTTTATTTGTATGTAGAGAGTCAAAATTCAAGTCCTCCACAAAATGTTAACATTTTAAATACAGTTTCATATTTGTTTCTGCAGACACAAAATCAGATCCCCATGAACTAATGTATTTTCCGTAAACTGCAAAAAATCAACTCTTTTTGAAATAGATGATTTTACAGTTTATCTAATTCATAGACTGTCATATTTCTTAAACGAGAGCACAAATTTTAAAGATAAACTTCCTTTTTATCCTTAAGTTATGTTTTATATTCTTTGCTTTATCATTTGTTGTGTGTTATAGGGGGTAACTTACCGTTTATCCTTAAGTTATGGTTTATATTCTCTGCTTTATCATTTTTGTGTGTTATAGGGAGTACTTACTGCTTATCCTTAAGTTATGGTTTATGTTCTCTGATTTAACATTTATTGTGTGTTTGTTACAGGGGGTAACTAGAGAGGATATTCAGAAGGCAGAGGAGGTGCTGAGCGGGACATCCCGTACAGAGACTGACAAGAGACTGGCGGCCTCGGAGGGAAGACTGGTCGCGCCTGAGACGACAGATAAATCTGTAAACAAAGATAGCGAGAGCTCCACCACTAGTGCTTCATCTCTCAGTGAGAGAGTTACCTCAGATAATGACTCCGTAACGTTACGACGGAATAGAGAGGTAGGTGCTTCATCTGTCAGTGAGAGAGTTACCTCAGATAATGACTCCATAACCTTACGACGGAATAGAGAGGTAGGTGCTTCATCTGTCAGTGAGAGAGTTACCTCAGATAACGACTCCGTAACGATACGACGGAATAGAGAGGTAGGTGCTTCATCTGTCAGTGAGAGAGTTACCTCAGATAACGACTCCGTAACGATACGACGGAATAGGGACGTAGGTGCTTCATCTGTCAGTGAGAGAGTTACCTCAGATAACGACTCCGTAATGTTACGACGGAATAGAGAGGTAGGTGCTTCATCTGTCAGTGAGAGAGTTACCTCAGATAACGACTCCGTAACGTTACGACGGAATAGGGAGGTAGGTGCTTCATCTGTCAGTGAGAGAGTTACCTCGGATAACAACTCCGTAACATTACGACGGAATAGGGAGGTAAGTCTGGATTATAGGCAGAAAAATGTTTGACTTCAAGTTATTTAACTATAGTTATCTCTAGAATATTATATGTAAAAAAAGAATTGGTAGACTTTAATCTATTTTCTTAATTATATATAGAGAACCATTTGTTTAAGTATCATACTCTTTATGAGGATATTTTTTTTATTGTAAGAACAAAAGAAAGCAGCATATAAACATACTCATGTTTCCAACATGTTTTGTAGGACGAACCACGAAGTAACAGCTTTCGGAGGTCTCGAGATTCCAAAGATATTACAGACTCTTATACTCGTAAGTTTCCTTCTTTAATCTCATGATTACATAGTATAAAATCGGTATTGCACAAAATGTACATTCCTCGTGATTCCAAACTTATTTTTCTCACACATCGTCTGATGACCATAAAATCGAAAACAGGTTTCAGTCAACATTTCAAAATGGTTTTTCAAAATTTTCATCATGTGTTAGCATATGTATATTGTACACACTTGAAATTACTACATTAAATCATGTTCCTTAAACAAAAAACAAGATATACAAAATCTAAGTTTTTACTTAAGTCTTTTTAGCTCACCTGAGCCGAAGGCTCAAGTGAGCTTTTCTGATCACATTTTGTCCGTCGTCCGTCCGTCTGTCCGTCTGTCCGTCCGTCCGTGTTTACGAGAGTGCATTTATTGGGTATTTTTCATGCCATGATTGTACTTATTGGGTACTTTTTGCTTATTGGGTATACCCAATAAGAAGTTTCGCTGAATGTGCTTAAAACACCCTAATTGGGTATTTGCAGGTTAGTACCCAACAAAACTTGGACACGACGATTTGTCCGAAAAAGTGTCCAAAAAAGTTGCTTTCACGGACGCACCGTGTTTTGTTGTTTCAGTTTTTCATTCGGAACTCTAAATTCTCGAGAGTTCCGAAAATCAACTTCCGTTGATCCTGATCATAACAACGTTTGTTTTCATGGGAAAAAAATATGGCGACTAAGAACCACTTAATGTCAACAAGACTTCCTGATTGACAAGAGAAAAGGTGAGTTTTTTCGATTAATATTTATCCATTGCTGGGTTCTTGTTTAAGAAAAATAGATTTTAATGTAATTTTGAAAACAATTGTGCACAAAATTAAAATAGATATATCGGAACAATTAATCCTAAGTTGCACTTGTTTGTATTTTGAATTTTCTCTGTCTTTTTAACTCTCCTGATTTAGTAGTATTTAGTAAATAATCGTATATTGTTAGATAATCTTTAATAAATCGAAAGTGTTTATTATTTGATTTTATATCATAACCAATTAAGTATGTTCTGACAATGTATATTGGAAAGGGAAATGAAAATGTTAACAATTGTGTGTTCATAATTCAGCTGTAAATTATCGGTTCATGTAGACAGTATTACAATCGCAAAGTGAGCTGAGATGATGATAAATGGGATAATTGACACTAACTAAATTATTGTATGTAAGTTTATCTCATCTAATATGTAACTTAAGAGATTCATTGCATTACTGAAAAACTTTCAGTTAAAACAGTGCTTCTTTTTGTCTTTGATTTTGACTGAGTGTCTGCTTTATTTTGATTTTGTTTTTAATTATTGTTTTTGTCATTTGTTTTAATTAATTTAAAACAACAATGAAATTGATATAGGGCTACTATAACTATTTCACATGATGGGTGTGCAATTAGCCTCGCGCTACACCCGGGGCTTCCAATTTTGAGGATGAGGCTTGTGGTTTTCTGCACTGAGGAATCCCCTTGGGCTATTAGGAATTTTAAAATACACATGTAATACATTCAAAGCACCACCGGTATTTTGTCTTTTTTGCTATTTAATTCCCTAATATCGAAATATTCCAGACAACATGCTCATATTATCCATAAATCTCCAGAACTGCATCCATTTTGCAGTACTACAAGACTGATTTACTTAAAAACGATCTTTTATTTCCTAATATGAATTCCCCCCTTTCCTTTGTTTAATATAGCAATATTTGCTTGTACATAAATGTCTCACAGATATCTCATTATTAAATTATATACATTCACTCTATCAGCTCAATTATAAGTGTTATGCAATTATGTAGCGTTTTTTTAAAGCCATACATGTCGTAACTGATCAAAAATATATTTTTGAAAAAAAAAACAAAATTAAGTAAAGAAATATAGTTAATACATTTAAATTAAAGCTTTTCATACAATTCGGAGCACAGAGAACACCTCGTTTTATCTAATAATACGATTTTTTCTTCTCTGTATTGTGTTATTTAAATCTTTTGTATTTTCTTCCAAGTCGGAAAAAATTCCGACAATCCAAATTAAATTTTGATATCTTTATAACGCAATTGACTTAGATTTCGTAATTTACGGAAAATTTCTATCTTTATCATGTTTATATAAAGTAATGATACAAATAATTAGTTCTTATGATTTTAGTCAAATTATTTTCATTGTACATACGTCATATATGGCTTTAAATGATTCAAGATGAAAGCAAAATGATTTTTGCTTCGTTTTAATTAGACAAACTAGTGAATGACCAGAAAAGGAATATATAAAATCTTTTTTTTTTCATTTTTATAAATCATTAATTTATATATGATTAAATTTTACTAGCGAAAATTAAACTTTCATTTTAAAAAGAATCATCTGTAGTTAATACCCTGACTTTTTTCACGATGAACTTTTTTTCAATGTTACTTCTTAATTTTGCCTCTATATTTGGGCTTGTCACTTTTTCCTCTGGGATAGTAACTTTATTGCAACCAAACTCTGGATTAGTACTTGATTTCCTTTATTGCACAGCGATGACTATGATTTAATAGCACAAAAAGCTAATGGGTTTACGTATGTGAATTTATATGATTAATGCTTAGTTGTGATTTTTGGATAACTGGAGATAATGATTCCTTTTTTCCCATTGATATTGCTCATAAATATTTTCCTAAGTATTATGTTACAATAAATTAGTTTAGATTTTTTTTATAAAAGTAATCAATAATAACAATGGAAATTGAAACCATAATTATGTTCATTGAGGATTTTCAATATGTAACAGGTCAAACAGGAACTTCAGTAGTGAACATTGCAGAGAACACACCCATCAGAAGATGACCCTCAGAAATAGGACGATTGTAAGTAATCAGTAAAATGAACAGGAATACTTCATGCCAACCATAAGATTTTTAGAGACATTTTCGCTTCTTAAATTAGAAGAGATAGAATGAAAAACTTGTACATACTACATAACTACTAGGCAACCAACCTTTAACTGCAGGAAAGCTTTTGGTATGTTTAATACAGCTACATGAAGCCTCTTTAGTATTTATGTTAAGTTTGAGAAAGTACCTTAGTATTTTTTTCTAGTGTTTGCCAAAGTTTTCATGCTCACTAGCTGTTTGCTTGTTTGTACTATCATTTTATTTTAAATTCTTCAGATGCCCTTTACCTTTGCCACTTTAGAATCATTTGTTTTAAGGGCATCTGAGGTTTACTTCCAGAACTTAATACATTTTAAATTAAATACTTGGGTACTATACGGTCATAGGTTAAGTTAATACATGTATAACATTTTGTTCTGATAGAGATGGTATACAGGGAAAAAAAAACAATACTAGATAATACTTCATAGGAATAAAACAGCTTCATCTTGTAGATGAATTTTATTTAAGGATCACTACTTCATGTCTGATGTGCTGAAAGTTTTTCATAATCTGTTTGACTGAAAGTTTTCATATTTTCAACTTCTATCCAGCCTAGTCAATTCTAATTAAATTTTGTGCAAAGCATACCCCAGGAAGGGGGGATGGAGTGTCAATTTAATTTCAAAGCAGTTAGTAAGGTTTGGGTCAATTTTAAATCCTCTTTAGCAGAACCATTGGGCTGAAAACAATACTAATGTGAAAGCTTTATCATTAAGTGTAGAGTTGGTTTTGAAGATTATGTACCCCTAATATATTTATATAGTGTTACATTAGAAGTCTAAAATTTGCAAGGAATAGGTGTAAAAAAAAATTTAAAATCTCCCTCTTAACAATCAGAAACTAACATACTGTCTAATTAATATGCAACATCGTTTTGTGTGCTGAATGATGATTCCATTTTGATAAAATTATGGCGGGTGGAAGTAGGATGAAGATGCAGTTAGACATAGAAGAAAAAAAAGTGTTGATAGAATTTAGTTTTTCTTCCATTTTATCTATCAATACATATTTCTGAATAAGAAATATACTTCTACTTCTTGTTTGGATTTGATCAACATAAAGGGTGATCTTGCTGTAGTCAAGAAAAACATGTTTTAAACGGCAAAGAAATACCTTTATCTAATTGCAGAATGAATAAAATGGACAGAGTCAGAACTGAAGGAGTTGCATGAAATGAGGAATATTTCCAAGATTACCTGAGCATAACCACTGCTACTGGATAAAGATATGGCAAAATAAAAGAGCAGGGTCAATGGAGGTATCATACAATATAGGCCATGAGAGACCCTGAAGAAGAAAGTATTGAACAGAAACAAAAATAAAACCATTTTGACATGTATTGATATAAAGGATCAAAGTCTTACATGTAAAATTTGGGCATGTAATGACTTTTCTCTAGCTCTAAGACTTATAACAGTGATGATTTGATTTAATATCTTTATCCCAATTTGTCAAAAAGATTTGGACATAGTGCATAAAGTTTTGATACAACTAATTCATTCATTGTACTTGTAACTGAGTTTTCTGGTGCGACACTGTTTTATCGGCTTCAAAACTATGTTTGTGATTTCCAAACCAGATAAATGAGATCATGAAATATCTTTTAACATCGGTGACTATTTAATCCAATCTTTTACATCTCAAAAGTATTTTTATTATTGCTGGGAAAATATGCTTTGTACATGTATTTGTAATAAACAGGATTATAGAAATTTTCCATATAATTCAACACAATCCTAGCAACTAAAAGCAAATATTTTATCAAGGGTGTGATCTATTTATTAATATGGTTTTCAGCATCTTGCTCTACCTGTAATGACTTGCTCCAAGTTCCAATATTTAAATTTAAATTTTGCAAACATTGTTATAAAATTCTTTAAAAGCCAAATAGTTTAGGCACAAAATGCTTATATATTTCCTATTATTTGTAAAGTGTACACTGAATCAGATGTGGAATGTTAGAATTAAAGTATTAAATACTGTATGTTTTGGACTTATGTATGCTTAAGCAGATAAATTTGAATTCAACTAGGGGAGGTAAATGTCATACTTATTGGGTTTGCAATCTAATGCAAGAGTATAAATATCCAAGAAAAATTTGACAATTTTAATGAAGGGCATAAGGTAACCCAAGAAGATTTGGACAGGTAAACATCACCTGTTGGGTTTTATTCTAATGTTGAGATGTAATATCCAAGAAGAGTTGAACCAATGTTCAATACCTATTGGGTTTTCTTTCTTATGAAAAAGAAATTGAGTAACCCAAGAAGAATGTCCAATACCTTTTAGTTTATATACTATTGAAGAGATGAAGATATCCAAGAGGAATTGGACAGGTGTCCATTACATGTTGGGTAGTATTCTGATGAAGGGATTATCAAGAAACCTAAGAATTAGACAAGTGTCGATTGCCTGTTGGGTGGGATGTAGATATCCAAGAGGAGTTGGACGGATGTCCATTACCTGTTGGATGGTATTTTGATGAAATAATTCAAGAAACCCAAGAAGAATTGGACAAGTGTCCATTACCTGTTGGGTGGGATGTAGATATCCAAGAGGAGATGGACAGGTGTCCATTACCTGTTGGGTTGTATTCTGATGAAACAATTCAAAAAACCCAGGAAGAATTGGACAAGTGTCCATTACCTGTTGGGTGGGATTTAGATATCCAAGAGGAGTTGGACAGGTGTCCATTACCTGTTGGGTGGTATTCTGATGAAACAATTCAAGAAACCCAAGAAGAATTGGACAAGTGTCCATTGCCTGTTGGGTGGGATGTAGATATCCAAGAGGAGTTGGACAGGTGTCCATTACCTGTTGGGTTGTATTTTGATGATGCAATTCAAGAAACCCAAGAATTAGACAAGTGTCCATTGCCTGTTGGGTGGGATAAAGATATCCAAGAGGAGTTGGACAGATGTCCATTACCTGTTGGGTGGTATTCTGATGAAACAATTCAAAAAACCCAGGAAGAATTGGACAAGTGTCCATTACCTGTTGGGTGGGATTTAGATATCCAAGAGGAATTGGACAGGTGTCCATTACCTGTTGGGTTGTATTTTGATGATGCAATTCAAGAAACCCAAGAATTAGACAAGTGTCCATTGCCTGTTGAATGGGATGTAGATATCCAAAAGGAGTTGGACAGATGTCCATTACCTGTTGGGTGGTATTCTGATGAATCATTACAAGAAACCCAAGAAGAATTGAACAAGTGTCCATTACCTGTTGGGTGGGATGTAGATATCCAAGATGAGTTGGACAGGTGTCCATTACCTGTTGGGTTGTATTTTGATGATGAGATTCAAGAAACCCAAATAGAATTGGACAATGTACACATGTTCAATTGTTCTTGGGTACTTTCATCCCTTCGTCAAAATACAACCCAACAGGTATTGGACATTTGAACATGTAATGGGCATTTGCTTATTATTAATTGGTCATGATTCGAAAAGGTTTCTCCTCAAATACTTATTTTTGTTATTCAAGAAAGGTTGAACAGAGTCTGAGATGTGTTGAGTTGTGTTTTCATAATTCAGTTGTTTTGCACTTAGGTATTCATATATTTTGATATAAGTTATTTTGAAATGTACAGGTGTATATCCTTATTGCTAAGAACAAATTAGTTAGGTGTTACAATAAAAGAGCTATATCACAGAAATTGACAAAAATATGGGTTCAAAACGAAAGGTTTTCAGTCTTGTCTGAATTTACCAGCAAATATTAAAATTAAAATATATAATAAATTTGAAATGAATAAAAAACAATACGAAAAAACCCAATAAAATACGGACACAAGGATTAATATCCAATAAGATTTGAACAGTAACTACCCAAATAATGCTCTCTCGTGTGTACACTTTTTTTGTATCCAATAAGCAGTATCCAATAGGACTTGGACTTGATGTACCCAATATATAACCAAATGTGTGTTCGTCCGTCCGTCCGTCCGTCCGTCTGTAAACTTTTCACATTTTCGACTTCTTCTCAAGAACCACTGGGCCAATTTTGACCAAACTTGGTACAAAGTATCCTTGGGTGAAGGGGAATTTAAATTGTAAAAATGAAGGGACATATCCCCTCGCAAGGGGAGATAATCAAGAAAAGACAAAAATAGGGTTGGGTCATTAAAAAATCTTCTTCTCAAGAACCACTGGGCCAGAAAAGCTGAAACTTATGTGGAAGCATCCTGGGGTAGTGTAGATTCTAAATTGTTCAAATCATGACCCCCGGGGGAAAGGCGGGGCCACAATGGGGAATCAAAGTTTTATATAGAAATATATAGGAAAAATCTTTGAAAATCTTCTTCTCAAGAACCACTGGGCCAGTAAAGCTGAAACTTATGTGGAAGCATCCTGGGGTAGTGTAGATTCTAAATTGTTCAAATCATGACCCCCGGGGGAAGGGCGGGGCCACAATGGGGAATCAAAGTTTTACATAGAAATATATAGGAAAAATCTTTGAAAATCTTCTTCTCAAGGACCACTGGGCCAGAAAAGCTGAAACTTATGTGGAAGCATCCTGGGGTAGTGTAGATTCTAAATTGTTCAAATCATGACCCCCAGGGGAAAGGCGGGGCCACAATGGGGAATCAAAGTTTTACATAGAAATATATAGGAAAAATCTTTGAAAATCTTCTTCTCAAGAACCACTGGGCCAGTAAAGCTGAAACTTATGTGGAAGCATCCTGGGGTAGTGTAGATTCTAAATTGTTCAAATCATGACCCATGGGGGAAGGGCGGGGCCACAATGGGGAATCAACGTTTTACATAGAAATAGATAGGAAAAATCTTTGAAAATCTTCTTCTCAAGGACCACTGGGCCAGAAAAGCTGAAACTTATGTGGAAGCAACCGGGTATAATGTAGATTCTAAATTGTAAAAATAATGACCCCCGGGGGAAGGGTGAGGCTACAATGGGGAATCAAAGTTTTATATAGAAATATATAGGAAAAATCTTTGAAAATCTTCTTCTCAAGACCCACTGGGCCGGTAAAGCTGAAACTTATGTGGAAGCATCCTGGGGTAGTGTAGATTCTAAATTGTTCAAATCATGACCCCCAGGGGAAGGGCGGGGCCACAATGGGGAATCAAAGTTTTATATAGAAATATATAGGAAAAATCTTTGAAAATCTTCTTCTCAAGAACCACTAGGCCAGAAAAGCTGAAACTTATGTGGAAGCATCCTGGTATAATGTAGATTCTAAATTGTTCAAATAATGACCCCCGGGAGAAGGGCGGGGCCACAATGGGGAATCAAAGTTTTATATAGAAATATATAGGAAAAATCTTCTTCTCAGGAACCACTGGGCCAAAAAAGCTGAAACATATGTGCCCATGGAAGGATCATGGGGTAGTGTAGATTTCAAAATGTCTAAATTATGATCAGTGGGGTAGGGTGGGGATGCATTATGTATAACAAGGGGGAAATCTGGTAAAGAACAGAATGGTCAAATCTTCTCAGGTGAGCGATGTGGCCCATGGGCCTCTTGTCTCAGTTTGTCATCATCGTACCAGGTGCTGAACGTTTACAATCTTATTAATTTTCGGACCCCCCCCCCCACCAAATGTATGTTTTAAATTGCATTTTGTCCATTTATTAAGAGTTATGTATGAAATTATTTTTTAGCATCCTATATACGGAGAGATAGAAGTGATAGGAATGCAATTTCATTGGCTGACTCATCGTCCTCTAGTCTGGGGGTCAATACGGGGTTATCTAGGTCACAGTCCCTCCGGAACCGAATACGTAACGGGGAACTTGAGAGCAGAACAGAGGAGAAATCCAATGGTAGGTTCTGTGTTTATCTTGGTATTAAAGACAGGGTATTACATTGTATAGTAAGCTATTAAAACTTTGATATAGTTATGAGAAATGGCAAGATGTATGTAAATGGGTTTATGATCATAACTATTGATTTTTTTTTCTCTACTATGATAGAGAATTGCTAAGATTTTCAGATACAGTGGATCCTGCTTAAACAAATAGTTAGTTTGTCAGCCTTCTGTTATCAGTATAGCCGAATATTCGAATAGCCGATTGCTCCATTTCAAGTCCAAACAAAGATGTATAGAGCTACATGTATTGACAATACATCGTAGCAAATTTCAAACTTGCACTTTCGTTTCGTTTGATTACTTTACGTAGCGATTCTCCAAAAATAAAATGTTATACTTACTTACTAATTTAATGTGATAACATTTTTCTAATAAAATGACTTATAAAAATTGTTTTTTTAATAGTTATTGCCATCTTTAATCAGCACATGTTTACATTCCTTCTTCGATGGCCGCCATTTTGGAAACGGAAGTAGACTAAATGTCTGACTTTATTCCATAATTTATTTTTTCCCGGATAAATGGTCCAGTAATATTAAAAAAAATATATTAAATTGTTTTGTTTTATTTGTTTCTTTAACATAGCTATGTATTTCACACTGTTTGTGACAATTCTCAAGTCAATAGTCCTGTAACTATGATGCATTTCAATGTCCCAGCAAATTATCATACACAAGCTAATACGTTCAATAATTAAAATCTAACTTTGGAAAAAAATTGCAAACAATTATCATAATTATCGAGTACATCACTGAAAAGTAATTTAAACCCAAGCTGATCATCATAACTGTATCAAAACATATCAATCTAGTGTGCCAATTATTAACACAGGTAAGGTGACTGCGTGTGTTCAGCCGTGACTAATCCCCTCATTATCGTACTCAATGTGTCAGACAGTGTAAACAAAGGCTTCACTAGGGAAGTTAGAGATGTGAACAGGGTCACAATTATGAAAAAATACTACGATGGACCAATTTTTTGTATCAGATAAAACGAAATTCTAATATTTTCTTATCAGAATATCAGGTGAAATTATTAATAAATATATAAGAAATGGTTTTGTGCTCTGATATTATATTGGAATAGCCGAAATATTCGTTTAACCGCTATCAGATTAAGTGGAAGCCACTGTATAAGGAAATCTCAATTATAGTATCTTCTCCCCATCTCTCATATCAGATCAATTGCTTATATGGATATTAAGAATTTCTATTATATAGGAACAAAAATAAAAGCCTCAAATGCCTCCTTATAAGTTGAATTTCCATTACATCACTGAGTTACTGTTATTTTTACAGATTTGGAAGATAAAGGGGATAAAGACGGTAGGAGAGAGTCGTCTGCCCTTGCCAGAAGGCGGCGGCGAAATGAACGAAGGTCAACTGGAATTGTTTCCTACGACAATAAAGATGTAAGTCACTATCATTGTTATTGTATTAAACCGTCAGGAGGTTTAGAACAAGATATAATTAAAGAATAAACATATGTAGCATGAAGTACCTTGATATATGTTTGTTAGATTCAAGTTAGATGTAACATATATCTTATCATATGTAAAAAATTTGCAAAGATACTCATTCGTATTTATAAAGTAAATGAAATTTTCCTGTCTCAGTCAGCATTGATTTCAGTGTCATGGTTTTATAACTTTTTTTCAGGAGGAAGAAGAGAAAGATAAAGAAAAGGAGGAGGAGAATAAAGAACCTGCAGAGGACAGGGTAAGTAATTGTCTCTGTCATCATAATATGCCTCGGGTTAAGGTCTCGGGTTAAAAAGTGTTTGTAGAATAAAAAACCTGTGTAGGACAGGATGAGTTAATGTCTCATTATTAAATGTTTCGGGTTCAGACCTCGGGTTATTAATCTCTTCCTCTTTAGTTTTTCAGGCTTAAAATTTCATTTTTTTTTCTTTTTTTTTGGAAGCAGGTATTTTCATATCTTTTTTCATTCAATCAAAAAAAAATGATATTAGCTGATTCTTACTCATGCCCAACTTCAGATACATTTGTGCATTTAAAAAGTTACATTTTAAAATAGCACATTTACAAGAAATGCATGTACAAGTATATTGTGCATCTATAAAAAGGGGAATAACTTCACTTTCTTTCAATTTTGGTAGAAGAATGGGTTATTTCTATTTTGAATAAATAAAAAAAAAATGATCTGTGTGGCATTGTTTGACCTTATTTGAGATGCCTGAAAATCTGTAAGGAAATTATTCTTGGGCCAAAGAATTATTTTAAACATCTAGGACAATACAGTCATAATCCTATTTAAATATGTATGTTTCTGGTGTATTCTTATATTACTGATAAAGTTTTGTTGAAAATGACATTTTGTTTTGGGGTCAACCTGTAATTCTTCATAAAAGAGTAAGTTTAGAACTTACCTTGGAGACTAGCAGTGGAAGGAGAGGATAAGAAGTTCTAGCTGGAGTCTTGGCTGAGGCCGATGAGTAGATTTTACTAATGAGGCCTAAAATAGATACTGCTGAATCATCTCGGAAAGAGTGGTGTGTGAGAGATTTATATAAGGATATGACGTTCTTCAGAAAACTCCTAAATGTGTATTATACTGAAGAACAGTGTAATACAAAAGTGACTTTTGCTGGCAGAAATGCTGCATGTTTCAGTATAAAGAGATGAAATCTAGAAGCAGTATAATCTATATTTTTCCGAATTTTCATACCTTTGATCCTATAGTATGCACACCTCTGAATGAAATAAAAATATTAATCTTACCCTGGAATTTATATTCCATTTTATGAAATTTATTCAAAGATTTTCTATAATTCTTTTATAGACAATCTTCTTCCTCAAGTCAGTCAGAATCAGAGTTATGCCCCTTTGACTCTGTTAAGTTACAATTAAATTACTGAGAATCTTGTGTGATTATGTTTTATTTTTTTTTTTTTTTTACAGATAAATTAGATTTTTGAAAAATTGTGATGTTTAAAACTTTCACCAAGAAAGTAGGCTAGCAAATAACCATTAACCCACTAACAGTGTTGTTATGTTAAGCTGTTGGCAAACAACTCCTCAGGATGTTATAGCCCATATGGCGAGTAGGAATTTTATTTTAACTTTTCCATCACCCGTCCATCCTTTGATTCTACAGTTACAGGCACTTAAATTTTCACTGCTTTTAATCTACAGAATGAATTAAAGACATTGAATCACCATAACATTATAACTTTGTAGAATGAATTAAAGAAAATAAAATTGCATGCAATACATGTATTATTATGCCCCCCTTCGAAGAAGGGAGGGCATATTGCTTTGCTGCTGTCTGTCGGTCGGTCTGTCGGTCTGTCGGTCCACTTAGTTTCCGTTCATTTTCTTCGCAACCGTTGCACATACTGAAATGAAATTTGGTATACAGATATATCACATGAATATCTAGGCCAAGTTCTGTTTTGGGTACGATCGCACCATTTTTGACAGAGTTATGCCCCTTGGACTTAGAAAAATTTCATTATTTGCAGTTTCCGTTCATTTTCTTTACAACCGTTGCACATACTTAGATAAAATTTAGTATGCAGATATATCACATGAATATCTAGGTCAAGTTCTGTTTTGGTTATGATCGCGCCATTTTTGACAGGGTTATGCCCCTTGGACTTAGAAAAATTTAAATTATTTGCAGTTTCCGTTCATTTTCTTTGCAACCGTTGCACATGCTGAGATGAAATTTAGTATACAGATTTTTCAGATGAATATCTAGGTCAAGTTCTGTTTTGGGTACGATCGCACCAGTTTTCACTGAGTTATACCCCTTGGACTTAGAAAATTTTAATTATTTGCAGTTTCCGTTCATTTTCTTTACAACCGTTGCACATACTTAGATGAAATTTTGTATGCAGATATATCACATGAATATCTGGGTCAAGTTCTGTTTTGGGTACGATTGCACCAGTTTTCACAGAGTTATGCCCCTTGGACTTAGAAAAATTTCAATTATTTGCAGTTTCCGTTCATTTTCTTTGCAACCGTTGTACATACTGAAATGAAATTTTTCATACAGATATATCACATAAAAATCTAGGTCAAGTTCTGGTTTAGGCATGATTGCACCATTTTTGACAGAGTTATACCCCTTGAACTTAGAAAAATTCCATTTATTTGCAGTTTCCGTTCATTTTCTTCACAGCTGTGCACATG